TGCCCCTTCCAATGTCTTGGATGCGCGCTGGCAAAATCGTAGGTAGGGAGAAAAAAGCTCATTATACTCTCGACTCTTGTTCATTAAACATACTTTTTCATACAGTACCTGCCAAAAGTTTTGTTCAAACATGAATAGTAGTGCGAGTCGAAAACAAGCGTTAAAGCCTTTAATATGTCTACAAATATAAATAAACATCTTGTTGATATTTTCAGTAGTAGTACCAATAACATCACATTTGAGCAATGCAATTGTAGTGGATATGGTCAATTTTTTCGTGCAGTACTGTACGGATTATACGCTCCTCACCGGTTAAGAGTTTGGCCGAGAGTTGCCTCCTTTCTTTTCTGGCCTAGTGCTATTCTTTTGTACTTTGCGCCAGTCAAACTGAAGGTTACATCGCTACAGAAACTAAACGAAGTATATAACGTTAGGTAAGTTAGGTTAGGGTGCATAAAAGTTCTCCCATCCCCTCACATATTCGATTTAATACTTCTATGGTTATAGGACGAGCGCTGTAAACATTGAACAATTCATTCTGCAGTGCAGAGATTCGCTTTCTCTTTCATATCGGGTGACGTGTAGCAAGTGTTGTCTGCATTCTCAGATGTGTCACTCATATTGCTCATATGATATAAACCATAAAGCTGTAGATAATGTATAGGCTGTGCTGTATTGATGGTTGAATCAGAAATTACGGCCGGTTTCGCTGATTAAAATGATAAATCTTATTATGTATAGCCATAATTGATACAGCTAACAGCACATGACACTTCTAACTTCACTTGTGATCACTTCCTCGACGGTACACGGCATAATTTTTTGGTCAATTTGTTTCTAGTATCCATGCATTCAGCTTATGTGTATTTAATCTGCAGCCGCAATGATGCTATAATTCCTTCTCGTTCATGTTACCAGAAATCCTTTAAGGTAACACATCTAATTTATAAAGGAGTGTGGTAAAACTTTGAAGACAGTTCAAGGGTGTTCCTTTACGGAATTCAAGCCAAATATTTACCTACATCTCTACCAAAATGATTCACAGCTGCATCAAATTTTTATGAACAAAATAGTTATTGCTTTTTATTTGAATACTCAGTATTTCCTTTTACTCCCCATTAACTATAGCTTATTATTAATTAAGAAATTGCAAAACAACAATACTGTCAGAAGAATAAATACAACTCACCATATCAAACAATCATTAAACAAAACTGCTGTATACTTAATAAACTTATAGGTACATTCCAGTAAATTAATAAAACACTGCACATTCAAAAAGTTTTGTTTATTTAATGGTAAAAAATGTATACCATTAAATATATTCATAATATCACAGTGAGCTAACTTTATCGATTTCAAATACTGAAAATAATACATTAAAAATAAGTAAGATTATAGTTTGCAATACTTACAGGACTGAAATGATTCATTAGTTTACTTTTTAATAATATTGTATCACTGCCAGAACCATCACTAAAAGATCCAAAAAACAAGTAGTATAAATCATATGCTTGCTTTAGTACTGCATTGTATACTTCATCTTGTATTTCATCTTCCATATAATCTAACTGCTCTACTTCCTCCTTACTTTTAACTTTGAATGGTAAATTAAGAGTCTGTAATTATTTCTGAATTTTTGACCATTTCAATTATTTTCAAACATACATACAACTCACCATTGTCATCCAAAAATTCTTCTCAGGTTGATAATACAATTGTCTCGTTTTCAGAGTGTGTAGCGAACGGGTGTCACATTGAGATTTGAAATTTCTGAAATGTTTAAAAACTGACATCAAATGATTATGTGTAAAGAAAGCATGCAGCATACCCTGTAAATTTAATTATTGCCTCCACCAACCCGACATTGTTTATTTGTGTATTTAAATCTTCCGTTGGAGGGAAATAAAATAAGATTTTGTTTTGCTCCTAAAAACGCTTCTTATATTATCTTTAGTCTACTTTTTCATTTATCCTACCTCTCCTTCTTTTATACAGTAAGTTGAATTAAAAATAAAAAAGTTCTTTAACTCAATTTCATTTCTTGAATTCATTTCGGATACAATTACGATTTCAGTAGTCAATTTACTTGTGAAACTCACTGTCCAATTTTATTAACGATAAAATGAAATTAAACTATAACATACATTAGGATCACTGTTTCAAAAAAATACTTTAGTTCCCCTATTTAACATTATTTCACTTAAATACCAATATCCACAAGAAAAACAAGACCGCATCCTTAATTAATAACTAATCAAGACAAGTTGATGGCTAGTTGATAAACATGCATAATATGACAGGTGTCAAACAGTAACATAGATAACTGGACCTTGGATAAAGAAAGAAATAGATGCTCCTCAAGTCATGTGAAGTTGGCAAATATATATATTCCTTTTTTACATTTTATCTATCTTATCAATTGTTGACGATTTATTGATTATTGTTGATACAATTTTATTATTTGTTGCTAATTAGTTTTTTAGATACTAACAATTTAAATATTGNATGGAAAAAAGGGCGGAAGAACTATTAGGGGAAGATCAATTTGGGTTTAGAAGAAATAGAGGAACGCGACAGGTCATTCTAGCTTTACGGGTAACAGTAGAAAAAACGATAGAAAAGGGAAAGAGTGCGTACATAGGATTTGTAGATTTAGAAAAAGCTTTTGACAATGTTAAATGGGACAAGATGTTAAATATACTTAAAAATGTAGGGATTGAGTTACAAAGATAGAAGAGTGATACTTAGTTTGTATAAAGAGCAACAGGCAGTTATAGAGCTGGGGCTGCAACGTAGAGAAGTAAATATTAGGAAGGGAGGGATGCACACTGTCACCGCTACTTTTTAATCTATATATCGAAGACACGATCAACATCATTAAAGAAACTGTAGGGATAGACGTGCAAGGGCAAAAGATTAGTATGCTTAGTTTTGCAGATGATATAGCAATATTAGCATCTAGCAAGGAGGACTTAGAGATAGCTTTAAATAAAATGGAACGGTTAATTTAGAAATTCGAAAAAGGTTTTTAAAGGTGTATGTTTGGAGCAAGGCGTTGTACGGTTGCGAAACATGGCCAGTGGGCGCGGCGGAAAAGAATAGGTTAGAAGCGTTCGAAATGTGGTGTTATAGGCGGATGATGAGGATAACGTGGGTAGAAAAGGTTGGAAAGAACAGAAGAACAGAGGACTCTATGGAGGTCAATAAAGAATATGCGAGATAGGTTGGTAGGACACCTTCCCAGACATGAAGGTTTAGTCAGAGACACATTAAAGGCAGAAACAGGAGTTAGGAGGGGTAGAGGTAGATCTACGTTAGATTACTGTTCGCAAATAGTTAAGGATGTGGGTTGTTCTAGTTTTAGGGAAATGCGAAGATTAGCTCAGGATAGGAAAGAGTGGAGGTACGTGTCCAACCAGTCTTAGGACTGACGACCTTATGATGATGATGAATATTCAGGAATTTAGATTCATCAAGTTATTTCAATGTACCTAATAGGTCAATAAATGTAAAGAACGCACGTAGTAGGTTTAATTTTGAATAACTTAATTTTTGCAGTTAGTATTATTAAAGCATAACCCATTAAACAATTCTAAATCTTACCATTAATTTCTATCAGGCTGGCATTTTTTTGTTGCATAGCCAGATAAAATTCCCTTGAGTTTGAAAATCTACCAACAACCCAGCAGTCGTTCATTGTTTTAACAATAATTTCACCCGAAAGTCCAATAAGTGATTTTTGGTCATCCATATCAACCATAATTTTGATAGTGTCTTTTCCTGTTGCTAGATTTCCAGATTGACGATTATCCAAATGTACGGTACTTTTACAAGCCAGGTTTAATTTATTAAAATATATAAAACGGGGACTATTATCAGCATTGGTTATTGGTGTTATATGTTTGGCACAATATTCTGCTATATCAGATGCTATGGTTGTTAATTTAGGACCCATAAATTCATCCAGATCCCGGAATAAAGATAAATTAAGCTCTTCTCCTAAAATACATAATAAGTAGAATCTCTCTAATTTTTAAAGTTAATCTTACCAGCAACAAATAAACAAACTGTTGCACTCAGTGCTCTATATAATATCATATAGTAGGTACCAGAAGATTTTTCACTATTCAAATGTACTTTGGGAATTTTTCCTAAACTTTCCGCCGATTTAAGATTTGAAGGACCTGTTACATAGCGGCCGAAGTGTGTAGAAGTAAAAGGGGAATTCCGCGGCATCGAGCCACCTTGTATTTCTGTTTCCATTTGAGCAGGTAATAATATACCGGTCAAGTATTGATAGATTGTTTGCATGCTGGGGGGCTCCACTGAACTCCTAAACAATATATATTTAAAAAACGAGGTGTACAGTCTTTTTAGAAAAACAACCTAATTTAAAAAGTCTTGTTTACCTTATTCTTAATTGGTACTCAACACACAGCAAACAAAAATATGACAATTTAGATACCTGTTCCTTTCTCAAATGACTTTGATAAAAGGAGCAGCTATATTCGTCCGTTACAAATACATTGCGCGCAATTGCTGAAATAAAGACTATTTGCACATATCGTGTTTTGCGTACATTTTATGTCCTAGGCATGTAGCAAAATTAGACATTTTATTTTGAAAAATTTGTAAAAAGTATAAATAACTAATAAAAAATAAATATACAAGGATTTCCAATTAAAACTTCCCACATGGAAAATATCGGAATTAAGACAAAAAAAAAACAGAAATACGTTGAGACAAGGCGATTTTCTTTCCAAGGGGGCCACAATCCGAGCACAATCACTCATTTCCTTCCAGGCGATCCTGATTGCCTGATGGGTTTTGTATAGATGATACTAATGACTTTTCAAGATTCAGCAACAATTAGGTACAGAAATTCCTGAAGCACTTGCAAATATCCTGATATTCAAATTTCGTTTCATTGCAATCTGATCTAGGGCAGCTACGTGATTACCATTTTTTCATACAACCTGTTCACGCTGATACTGCAGGCAATCGATCCAGTTTCTGAAAATTTATGCACTAAATCGAGGACGTACCGATGCGAAGTGTTTTTGTCAAATGACGATCATTAAAAATCTGTGCTGCTTGCCGCGCACAATCATTATTCTTATAGAACAAACTATTTCCACTTTTTGGGCAATTGTGTAAGTCATTTTCACGAATTGGAATTGAATTAACTTTGTACTGATTTTATGGGATTAACCTAATTTATCTTTTTATTGGCTTGTTTAAAGTAAAACGCATAAAAAGATAAAACATTTAAAGAACACCATCATATAACGCCCGAAATGCGTCGAAATGTTCGTTCAGGAATGGAGATTTTATGAAGTAGAAGAAAAGCAATTTGAACATGTAATTACTAAAATAATATTCCTACATTCATTGATATTTTGTTTTATTTTAAGTGAAGATTTTTTGTCACATCCAAATCAAAATTTAAAAAATCGTATGTCGTACTTAGTGAGCGAAATTGAGAAAGCATTAAAATGAGGTGTTACTCAACATAGAGTGCCATTTAAAGTTTAAGGGTACTTTACGCAGCTGCGTAAGAGGTACCTTCCGACGCACCAAAACTAACGACATCATCTTTCCCCTTTGAAAAGAAAATCGACGCATCTCAGCATTTCCTTGTTCTTTCTTAATTTCGATATTTTCCAGTTAGGAAGTTTTAATTAGTATACCCTGTATGCTTTGAAGCTTAAGAATTGTACTTTAATGTACTTTTTGCCCGATCTCCCTATTTGCTTTTGTTCGCGTTCTGCAAGCATGTTTGCTTTAGTTTTCAGCATATCCTGGCAGCAAAATTAAATTATTTTAGAATTTATACCAAGGTACGTTTAAGATATTCAATACTTAGAAATGGTTGTAGGTAAGTATTAAGAGAATTTATGAAACAGAAATTACGATAGGACAGCTTTGGTGTCATGAGTAGAGTATAATTACCCGTAAGTCAAAATGGTAACTTCTATTTTTTATAGTATTATCTTAAACAAGATAGATAGGAGCAAAAACTTAACTCAAAGCGAATGGGTTTGAAAAGAGTCATGAATAAGAGAGAATAGATAACACAAGAATCGCTGCACGATGAGCGGCTGCGCATCTATTGTGGTATTAAAACAACATTAAACAAATTGTAAGCAAAAGCTCCGTTTCCTTGGTACAAGAAGAGATACCCTCTAATATTGATTTCAAAATTTTACGACACACTTCCTTATGGAATAGATGACGAAGCTAAAAGGATTTTTGACGACTTTTCCGTTATGAAAACACATTTCTGGAAAGGAAAACCCTTACATTGACATTGACTAGATCGTATTCCTTAGACGGTGGTCTCTCTCATCCGCAATCCACGACCGGCGACGTGCAGTGGGGTGGCGAGAAACGGGTACCTGTTGTTGGTAGCGGGCACACGATCCCTCTTACGACAAACGTGTGCCTGTTGCCGTTAGGTGTACTTCTCTTGAATTCAGTATATTAATTCAACACGCCCGCCTACTAATTCGGCAATTAGTTTCTTCAAGATGAACAATAAATTATTATTTTGTTATAAATTTAAATAAATATAAATCTTAGAAAATGGCCTAGTAAAAATAAGAAAAAAAAATACGTTCTCTATTAAATCTTCATATTTGTTACAAATAATCTACAAGTTTATACTGCCCATTTCAATTTGTTTGAATTGTGACCTTGAAGGAATCTGCGTGAAGATAGAAAGAATACACACTACGCGTGAGCAAGACAAAAATAGTTGAAACAAGCTTGAACGAGCAGAGCTCTCGATGGGAACTGTACAGTACTAGACGAAAATGTTTAGCAATTTCTTAAAACAAAAATGTATATAAATTAACAATAGAAAACAAATCAAAAGTTTTACAGGTAGACATGTGTAGCACACT